TCTGTCTGAGCATCTCTCTTTCCCCAGCACCTTATTTGCTGGAGACAATCCTGTACAGCCTGAAAGGCCTGCACAGCCTTTCAACAGCAGAATGATGCTGTTCACGGCATCCTTCCTCCCTGTCTGAGCTACCATCTCCAAAATCTTGCCAATGCCTCTGGTTTTGCTTGCTTTGGCTTTTTTACACTTTTATGTGGTGACTGCACCAGATCCCTACAGCAACCTGGCCATCCCTTTCCCTGAAGATGCTGCTCATGTGGTTGGGAAACAGAGCTCACACTCAGCATCAGCTTTCTGCCTGTGGCCCCAGTTCTCCTCCCACAGCAAGTTTCCGTGTTCCCTAGACAAGGTTGAAAAGCAAAGGAAAAGGATTTTGGAGTGACTGCAAGGCAGTTTCTTAAATATATATTAGCATTAACTTCAGCCCCATCGCACCAGCAGGCTGAGCTCTCAGAAGATCAAACCCAAAGCCGATCCTGAGCAGTTCCACTGAAATCCCTGTGAGTGCAGAGGCAGTACTCACCTCTCTCTTTGCCACGGCTACTGGGCTTGTATCAGGACTCTGTTTTCTTCTCAAAAGTGTTCCCTCAGCAGTCACATTCCTGTGCTCACATCCTAAATCACAGCCAGTTACTCCAGCATCTGGACCCCCAACTTTAAAGTTTCCCTTTCAAAGTCTTTTCATGTTCTACATTTTAATGTCCGACATTCATCTTCTCCCATTTTCCTTATTTGAGCACTTCCACTGATTGTGAATTGTATCAATCAGCTAACAAAGGAATTATTGCAAAGCTTTTCTCTTTGCCATCAGTGTTACGTAGTTTTTTAAACATATGTTTTTTTAATAGAGTGGCTTCAGAAGCAATGTCTAATAAAAGCCCAGTTTTTCCTTTATTTAATTGTAAAGTTAAAGTTAAACCTCCAACAGATATTCTTCCAAGAAGAAAACAAATTTGGGTTTAAACCAAGTAGTTTTGAAAGTTTATTCTAGTCAACTAAGGAGATCAATAGACACTTCTGGTTTATGAGCTTTAAGGGCTGAAATGTTTGCAACAGATGTAAGAAAAAGATCATATTTTTGTAGCGGAGGGAAAAAACTCAAGAGTTAAACAGCCATTTCCAAGCACATATCACTTAGGTTGATAGAAGAAAAAGTTTTAAAGTACAAGTAGAAACATGGAAATTAATTATTTCCACAGCTATGTACATAAATATCTTATGCACATTTAATTAATGTATATGTGTTCAGAGATCAGAGATAATTTGTAAGAAAACCAATTTGGCTTCTCCCACTGTCATACACACTAAAGACATTATCTAAGTAAAAATTATTCTTTAAATGTATTACTTCGACTTGTCACTGATACCTGGTAATTATAACTTTAAAACACAATAATCTATTGTAACAAAGATTTTTAACAGCTTTATACAATGTTACTATCTCCTTCAGTTTTGACAACAATACCAAACCAAGCCTTTCTCTTCTACTCCAAGTAATTCTTCCCTGCAACTCACCTGGAAAATCCATGCCAAGTGACCCTAGCAAGTGATGGGACACAGAGACACAGGGTCACCTGGCACTGGCACCCCTTTTCTGCCAGCTGCAACCATGGCTGCCCAGTGCAAAGCAGAGTCCAGACACCTAAAAAAACATGTGGAAAAGAGGTGGCTCTTTTCTGTTTTTTCCATGCTCTCCATTGGGCACGGTGGTGTGGAGGTGGTGCAAGGGAGCTGCCCACAGTGACTGCAGCCATCTGTGCCACAGTTATATATAGCTAATTAGACTGTCTAATATTACTGTGCAACAGTTATATATAGCTAATTATACTGTCTAATATTACTTTCACATTTAAGTAATTATTATAATTACAATATTGAAAGCAATATTAGATAGTATAATTAGCTATATATAACCCACCCACAGCTGGTGGGTGCTGGTAGTCACACTTGAGAGGAGAGGTGATCTATGAGATGCCACCTATGAAGACACGGATGACAACACAGCTTGTCAGTGCTGAGACAGCAACTTTGGAGGACATGCCCAACTGCTCACATTGCCATTTGTAGAGTGAAGTTTTTCTTCAACATTTTCTTACAAAACGTAAAGCACAAAAACTGCATGTGACCCTTCTGCCTGGCCTGCGAGAGGAAACCTTGTGCTCCCTCCGAAAAGCCCTCAGATGTCAAATTTGCAAGCTTTCAATGAAAACGCATCAATGCATTTCTGTACTGGCTTATGGGACTGAGGACAGGAAAGGGGAAAATAACAAGAGTGGAAAGTTTATTGTTTCACTCTTACTGTTTTCCACAAGCATGTGGTTAACCCTGCATGACTCATAAACATGAAACGTAACTACATTTTGGGAAAGTCACAGATCCATGAATTTAAAGCACCATGCAATGTGCTGGCATAGGGAATGCTTGCCTCTGGCTGCAGGATTTGCACTTGCAAATAGTTGGTACCCTACAATTAATGCTGGTTTCCAGCACAGCAGCCACAGGCAGACAGGCTGTGGGTAGCGGCAGTTTGGAGGCAGAGGTGGATGCAGCACAGCTGTGTCTGATAACCCACTGATGGGGCACTGAAGCACATAGCCATGAATGAAGGGAAAAGCACTAGAATTTGATCAAAGAGAAAGCCAAACCAACTTTTTTCAATGAAAAAGTGAAGTTTGCCCCTGCTTTACTGGACTGTCCCAGACAAGACACAGATCAGTCTTGTGTCAGTAGTGGATCTGGAACACAGTTGCAGGAATCATGCTAAGTATTTTTGTTTGTTATCCTTAGTTCTTGGTAATTTGTAAATCTCTGAGCTTCCAAGAAACTGGGCTGCCCACAGCATGTCTTCAGCACTGCTGGAGCAACTGTTTTTCAGAACAAGAAGAAAAAAAAAAAAAAAGCTGGGGAATAGAGGCAATGAAGAAGTGTGATTTCTATTGCTGCTGTTCTGAAGAAATGGCATAGAATGCCCTGCCTGGGAAACCCACTGCCTTCCCACCACCTGTTATTTTCCCATGGATACAGAATGATGGCAAAGATGGAAAGATGGACCCAAAAGGCCAGGTCAGTGGTCAGGTGGGGAAGGGCTCCCAAGGCTCTCTCAGGATGCTGGAAAGCTGTTCCAACATATTTGGGAGAGAGAGAGAGAGAGCAGGAGAAGTGGGCACCCACCCATGGGTTGGGAGTGCCACTGCTGGAATACATCGGGGGTGGAACCAGAGGCCACGTGGAAAGGCTGTGCCACACATCAGCACCTCGGTTTGGTGTGTCCCATGTCGGCAAGGCTCTGCACGGGAAGGGAGGCAAGGGCAGAGCCCGCCTCCCCTTACACAGTGGTTGCATGGAGCGGCAGTTTAAAGCAGTTCGGAGGGGAGATAAACTCAATGTTGTTCAATTACCTGTGAAGCCTCATGTTAGCAGGAATAACTTATGAATGTTTCAGTGAAATTCATTTTGATACAAACACAGGCAAGGATATTTAAGAGATGGACTCTGCAGCCCAAGAACCACAAAATGAAACAGAACAGCATTTTTGTTTGCCCACACTGCAAACAACACAGAATGCAAATAGCTTTAGTACTGACTAGTCAGATTTTTTTATTTTAACCTAAAATCAGGATTTTATGCACCATCTCAGCTCTGCCTGCCAAACTGATATCCATCAATTAAAAATGCAGCTGCTAACCTGGTCAGCATACGCAACTCTGTACGACACTGTTACCATTCCAGGTGCACAAACAGGTAAGTACCAAATGCAAACAAATTCCAGGCTGAGTAATGGAAAACCTAATCTATTCCAACAGCAAAAACTGCTTGGGGGTTCAGTTTGCTCTCTGCTTTGACGCCGATATCTTCCAACCAGTCTGCGCTTGGCGGGGTTTTTGTTTAGAAAAAACTTCCTGAGGCCTTTTACATAATTGCTATCTATTTTCTCTGTATAACCTTTAGAAGGACCTTTCTTTTCAACTCAAACACACAGCTTTTTAAGAGTACTGTTGGGTTTTTTAAGGAGACAGAGTTTTGGTAAGCTTTGCATTGATCTTAATTTCTTCCTCTCCACCCTCCTAAAAATAGTATTTCTTTTTTTTCCTTCCTAGTTGCTGCTCAGCTGGGACTGATTTCTGGGTTAACTATCCTGATCTGCAGAAATAACACTGGGACAAAAAAAAGAGTGAAAATACCACCAGCAGCCTGACAAATTTGGGTCACACAGAGAATCCGCTAATCCAACAACTCAGTGAGCTGAGAGAGACAAACCCAAATTCCTTTCACGGTGACTCCACGGCTACCTCTGTTTAGGATTAGCTGAGCCCCAGGCTGCTACAGAGCTTTATGCCTGCAGCATGGCACATCTTAAACATCGCTCTAACACTGTCACCCGAAGGCAGACGCTGCTTTCCGAAACGCGTCCGTCACCAGCACTGTCACCTAACGCAGGGCTCGAGACGACCCTACCTGTGGGTATCGGTGCGGGATGGGCCCCATGGCGAACGGGGGGAGCAGGGGCCGGAGGCGGGCAGAGCCCAGGGTGAAGGTCGGGAGGAGGGGGAACAAGGATCGTCTGTGGCCCAGCCCTGATGTACAGGCTGGCACCCCGCCATCCGCTGCGGAGTCGGGATGCTCTGCGCAGGGTGGGGCCCGAAGGGTGCAGCCCCCTCCCCGAGGCGATCACCCGGGGATGCATCCTCCCAGCTGGGGCCCGTCCTCGGGGCGCATCTCTCCGGCCCTGTGAGCCCCACCGGGGCAGGCTCCGTGCTACCAGGAACAATATCCAGCCCGAGAAGCCCCCACGGCGAGGGGGCCGCAACCCCTGCAAACCTCGGGGGAAGCATCTCGGAGGGTGACCCTGGCCGGGGGCGGGGGTCCGCCGTTCCTAGGCCAGGCCCGGCGGAGCGATCATGCGCACACCACACCGCGCCCCCCGGGACCCCCTCTCCCTCCCACAGCCGCCCCCTCCCACCGCCGCCCCGCCGTGACAAGCCCGGCCCGGGCCGCCCTACCTGTGGCCAACACCACGGAGAAGGCCAGGAGCAGCCCCAGGAGCCGGCGGCCGGCCATGGCGCGGAGGGACTGCGTCTGCCTCGGGCTCAGCTCCCGTCTCCGCCGGGGCGGGACGCGGCTGTGAGGGGCGGGCGCTCCGCGCCACCGCCCCCCGCCCTCCCCTTCGGGCCGTGCCCCCGCCCCTGCCCCACGGAGGGGAGGGGTGTCTGCGAGGGGACTCTGCGGCCCCCGGGGGATGGCCGAGCCTCGGCGCCTGAAGGCTTTTTCCTCTCGGTGAAAACCCGGTCTTGGCGCACATCCTTCCGTCGGGCGTGAGTGGGGCTGCTGCCGGCGTCAGTCCCACATCTGTTCACCCGAGCGGTGAGATCCGGGTGGCAAATAGCGATGGGGGGACGCGCAGGAAACGAAGGAGAGGTTGGGACACCTGCTGCCGGGCCTCCGCCGTCCTTCGCCCCCAGCAGCAGCACCCCGGCGCTGGAGGAGCCCCGTGTACCCGTGGATAGCACCCCCGGGGCAGGGACGGCCGCGCGTTCCAGCTGGGAGGCCGCAGAGGTGCTGGGATGGGGCGGTGGCGAGGGCCTGGGTGCTCTGCCCTGGACCAGGGAAAGTACAGAGGTACAGGAGAAGGAGCTGCTGCAGTTTCACCCTTTAATGCCAAGTATTTAACGTGGAGGTTACGGAGCTATGGAATTGTTGGCTGGAAGCGACCTCTGGAGGTCTCTAACCCAAAGGCCCCATCGGAGTGGGACCCATGGACACCAGGTTACATACAGCCACTTCTGAAAACCTCCAGGGCTGAAAACTCCTCTGCCTCCCTAGGGATGACCAATGGCCGTGCTGTCTCACTACCTTGACAAGAATATTCTCCTGGGTTCAGTCTGCCCCTCCCACTGACCCTTTGGCCATCACTCCCAGCTGTGTTGTCTCTTTCGTGTTAATAACTGCCCTTGAGCAGTTGTAAACTGCTGTTATATTTGCCCTCAGCCCATGCCTCACCAAATCAAACAAGGTACTCCTTGTGCACAGGGTGCTGGACCCTCTTCTTCTCGATGGCTCTTTTGAATGAGGGCAGGGAATTGTTAATAAGAGGTTAAGCATCTTCTTTGTGATATTTATAGGTTGTTGTGCTACAGAAAAAGGGATGAGGATGCAGCCTATTTTTAGGAGGTATTCCTGAAGCTTTACTGGGGACTGAGAGCCTGAAGAAATGTCTGGGTCATCATAGTCCCGTGTCACCTCATGACAGCTGGTACACACTGCTGTTTCACGGCTGCTCCAGCCAAGTGTCAGGATTGCCTTGGGTCCAGAAAGCCCTTTTTTGTCCTTGGTGGAAACACTACCTGAAAAGATAGTAGGCAAACAGACCGTGATGGAAGGGGGGTGCCAGGGGAGATGGAGAGAAGGT